AACTATCAAGTGAACCAATCAGACACCGTTGAATTTTTCAGAAATAGAAGAATTCTTCACCATGAAGAATCAATTCTTCGCGAGAAATGGAAGCATTTGATTGGCTGAAGAAGTAGGTTATGTTCTAAATGATAAAAGTCATTGATACCCTAACCTGAAATCAGGCAAAAATTGGTTGCTATATGTTTTATAGTTACCATGGCAACATGCCTTAAATTCGAAAAATGGCATTTTTAGCTCACCTCAACGAAGTTGGGGGAGCTTATGTAATACCCTCGGCGTCGGTGTCGGTGTCGGTGTCGGCGTCGGCGTCCCGGGTTAAGGTTAAGTTTTTTTGAGCAGTTTTCTTTTTAAGTACTTCTATGTCCTATATTGATTAGACATGCATGGAAGATGTTTCTAGTGTGTTTCATTGTACCAGTCAAAGTTTCAGATGCTGCAATTTCAGCAAAGGAATGACCAGGTTAATGTTTTTGGAGCAGGTTAACATTTTTGGTGCAGTTTTTGGTGTGGGTTTCATTTCCAAGTAACTATAAGCCCTATGTTGACCAAACTTGCATGGATGATACATCTAAGGATGCATACTACCGGGCTTGCTTCGGATGCTGAATCTGACCTACATTTTCCGGTTGAGTGAACAGGTTAAAGTTTTTGGTGCAGGTTTCATTTCCAAGTAACTATAAGCCCTATGTTGACCAAACTTACATGGATGATACATCTAAGGATGCATACTACCGGGCTTGCTTCGGATGCTGAATCTGACCTACATTTTCCGGTTGAGTGAACAGGTTAAAGTTTTTGGTGTAGGTTTCATTTGCAAGTAACTATAAGCCCTATGTTGACCAAACTTGCATGGATGATACATCTAAGGATGCATACTACCGGGCTTGCTTCGGATGCTGAATCTGACCTACATTTTCCGGTTGAGTGAACAGGTTAATGTTTTTGGTGCAGGTTTCATTTCCAAGTAACTATAAGCCCTATGTTGACCAAACTTGCATGGATGATACATCTAAGGATGCATACTACCGGGCTTGCTTCGGATGCTGAATCTGACCTACATTTTCCAGTTGAGCGAACAGGTTAATGTTTTTGGTGCAGGTTTCATTTGCAAGTAACTTTAAGCCCTATGTTGACCAAACTTGCATGGATGATACATCTAAGGATGCACACTACCAGTCTTGCTTCGGATGCTGAATCTGACCTACATTTTCCGGTTGAGTGAATAGTTAAAAGTTTTTGGTGCAGGTTTCATTTCCAAGGAACTATGAGTTCTTTAATGACCAGTCTTGCATAGATGATACATCTAAGGATGCATACTTCCAGGCTTGCTTCGGATGCTGAATCTGACCTACTTTTTGTGGATGAGTGAAAATGTTAGTTTTGATGCATGTTTCATTTCCAATAAACTATGAGCTCTATAATGAACAAACTTGCATGGATGATACATCTAAGGATGCACACTAATGGACTTGCTTCTGATGCTGAATTGGACATACATTTTTCAGATAATAGACAAGGTAAAAGTTATGGTTGCAGGTCTATTACCAAAAACTATAAGGCTTATATAACATTGTATAAACCAAACTTGCACAAATGCTGCATCAAGAGATGAAAACTCTCAAATTTGCTTCAGATGCTGGATTTTCATTACATTTTCATGAAGAAGAAGTAGTTTAAATTTTTTATGTCGGTCTATTTCAAAGTATCGGATCAAAATTGCTTTTAAAAATATTTTCATTTTTGGAATGTATACTTTTTGTTGGTTAATTGTGTGACTTTGCCTTACTTAAAGACAACATTCGTTGAGGTGAGCTCTGTAATCTCTGATTACCTATGTTTTAACATGTTTAGAGCCCCATAGTTAACATACGCGGCAAATCAAACAATTGGCAATGACTGTTTCCAAAAGTTGAAGGTCAGATGTCTCAAATGCATGATAAACATGTTTGGTAAATCAACTATTACATACGTTACTATGGTAACAAAGTATTCAAAGGTAAAAAAATATTCATTGAATTTTATAAAGTCATACACGTAGAATTAAAAAGCAATTATAGGATGAAATGTGACCAAATAATAGAAAAAAGAGCCTTGAAACATATACCAAGAACAAAATATGATATTTCATTTTGGTTGGCAATAGTTGCCAAGGTTTTTATACGACAGAAAGCCTTCAAAGTAACACTATGTATGTTTAAATCTGATCCTATCTTTAAAAAAAAGCACATTTCCTCATAACTAATGATCAATTTTATAAGATGTTGCTGTGCTCCAAGTTTTCCCATTTGAAAAAATTCAGATTAGATTCTTTAAATAGAGCGTTGCTATGGAAATAAGCAGAAAATATATGCTTAAAAACCTGAAAAATATTTTCTTTCCTTGGATACGTACCCTTAAATGTAGATTCCCAAAACTTTTATGATTAATATTTATTAACAGCTAACTTGATTTTTAATTTTGACTATCATCCAATCTCTAAGTGGATGCAAGAAGTTGGCACACAGGGTTTAATATTGATATAAGTTCACAAAATCGAACATTTTCCTTTCTTGGTAACCATAGCAACAGTGTTGTTTTATTCATCAAATTTTATCAATATATGATATTCAACTTCAGTTCTAACAGATAAGTACTATTCAAGCTGAGTCCTTTAATTTGTTTCTTGATTAAATGGCAATTTAATTCTTAATGCAGCGAAAAATAATTCACTTTTAAGCACTGGTACATTGATTCCATGGTAACACTATATAGTAGCAATTATACCGAATTTTTCTTATGGTTTTGGTGTTGCAAGGTCCTAAGGATGCACATTTGCCAGTCTTGAATTTTCATGTTTTTCCTGAAGACAATAGCATTAACCCAATCTTAGTTATTGGTTTTGCATGGTTACACTGTGCTACCATGGTAACCATAAAAGTTATTTATAGAATGATATTGCTTTTACTTATGTACTTAACGTCAAACATTTTCATTGTTTTTCTGAAGTCGTTGATTGAGTTTGAGCATGTTACACCTACCATTAGTGAATACGGAGTGTTTTTCAGCATATTTCAGTATTTTAAATGTATTCCAAATGTACCCTTGGTTACCACATACTTAAGAGATATATTCTAAGCAGTTTCTTTACAATATAAGTGACATCAATGTGTCATGTTTTTGTGAGAATGGTTTGTTTGCTTTTTCTAGTTTTTATTAAGCCACAGTCAAGATTTAAAGTGGCTGAGAATCTCGATTTTTCAAACTTTTCCGGCTGTTGCCATAGCAACCGAGACACATAGCGACGAAATTTTGTTTGATATTTGTTTCTGGTGTCAAGTACTAAGCATGGGTGAAGTTTCATCAAAATCGGTGACCATGCGTGGCAACGAAGTTTAAGTGGTTACAGAGAATGGCTTTTAAATAACGCAAACGAACATTGCGAGGAAAAAAAGTGACAAATTAATCTTAAATGTACATTTGTTGTATATATTTTTTTCGTTAATTCAAGAGGGTTAATTTTTTAAAATTAAATTGTATCAAACAATGTACATTTTAGTGTTCTAAAGTATTGAAAATGCATTTAGTTCTAAAGTATTGAAAATGCATATAGCAAACTTCCGCCAGAGTTCGTTTCCTCACAGTCTCTCTGTAGATGAGGCCTCGACGGGGGATGCATATAGTTCTTACTGTGTATTCTAACGCGCGGTGACAAGGTTTCGCGTTATAGAGATTTGAACGTCATGGATTTCTAATGGATTTCATAAAGAAAATTACACTAATGTAAATATTTCTAAATGGAAATTTTGAGATATAAAATTATTATGTTGCCACCAAAAGAAATTTTGTAATTTAAACGTTATTAAGATAATGTTAAATGTTCGAGTGATGTTAATTGTCACCTTTGTTTAGATATCAGGTTTCGTTATTTCAACACGAAAATCCATCATTATAATATACAGGTACATGTATTACATGTACCTAGCTAGTATATAAGCCATTCAACAGTCAAGCATTTAAGGCAAAAGATTTAAAAATTTTTTTTACAAAGTGTCATCGACCAAACAATATTTCAAATTAAGTTTTTTCTTCGTGTTTGTCTAGCTTTGGTGGTGACGGTATGCTGCGACTCTTCGGACTTGAGTGAACTTAAGGGGTATAATAGGTGTCTTAAAGAAAGATTGAAGTTTTTGGAGTCGAAAGTTGAATCCACTTGCACTGAGAGTTCACAATCATGTAAGTTTGTTTAATTCTTTTATTAATCTTGGTTTTCTCCATTTATATGATATAAGAATACCCCTTTAATATACGCACGTTTTGAGATTATCTCCCATGGTGCGCTCTCAGTAACTAGTTACGGAGGAGGTGGGACATTCATTTAAATTGGACCAGTTACATTTATTTCGAAATACCGGTCTACCATAACTTTTTTCAGGATACACTTATCATCGCGAAAATTGACTATTGAAAGCTTCCCCCGATATGCAAATTATCCCGCTTTTCCAACTATCTTTGATGCTCCTGGCATACCCATAAAACATTCTTTATCCATGCAGAGTTGTCGTTCCCTCTACGCTCCCACATACACGTGCATTCTAAAGTAAAGGCATTTTTTTTCACCGAAAATAGAAAATATCAAAAGGTATTAAAAGCACCACCCATCGTTTACTAGTATTCATTTATTTAAGCACATTTGAGTACTATAGTACATGAATCGGCAATGTCCCACTTGAGTCTTCCATGGTGGATTAATTTGGTTTCCTTTTGCATCTATTGCCATCATTGAAGAACTATAAAATCTCGAAACTTGCGAATTGCTATTTATTTAGTTTAAATGACTGGTCTATTATTTTAGTTCAACGTGTGTCATTTATGGCGAAGGCTTCACACAATATAAAACCCGTCATAGGGACTCTCACTTTTGACAACGTTCTCACCAATAAGGGAGGAGCCTACAACGGCAAGACTGGTATCTTTACCGCCCCCGTATCCGGAACATACTTCTTCGTGGTCACCGTGAGTATGCCAACCCCATCCCCCGCAAATGGTAAGGACTACGTACAGATGGATATTATGAAGAACGGCAAATCATCCGGGTACTTGTTTATCGGGACTCAAGGATTATGGATCAAAAGATCGGAAAATACTTTAGTGGAGCTCTCAAAGGGGGACAAAGTAAACCTGAAAGTCAGAACCACGGGAAGTGGGTTTTCCAACATTGCTGGATACTATTATCACTCTCACTTCTCAGGATTTTTAATCAATTGAAGCATTTTTATTTGTATTAATTGAATAAAATTGCAATAATGGAGGAAAATCATTGTTATTATTACCAGTAACCTGTAAGTAAGTTTCCAGATCAGTACAATTATTTCAGAATCATAGGAAGATATTATATAATTCCGATCTAATTTTTTTGTATTGATTTCCTTGTTTTGATTGGACGAGAACAAATTCAAGAATAAGGTTTCACATCGATAAATTTCTCCAAAGGCGCTCACCGTGTAATTAAGTTTGTAGATGACGAAATGATCGCGCAATTACTAGTCTACATAGGTCTTGATTTTACAGTATACTGGGGTAAACCTATGTAGAGTTTTATTTCGACATCTACAAACTTACATGGGGAGCACTTATCAATTTCTTAATCAGTACTACTTTCTTGAAACAGATCATTACTTCTATAGTCTGTTCAAGCTATGGAGAACCCTTCTACTTTTTATTCGAAAAATAAAATTAATTTTCAATTTTCAGAGATATCTCTGATTTTTATATATATATATATATATATATATATATATATATATATATATATATATATATATATATATATATATATATATATATATATATATATATATATATATATATATATATATATATATATATATATATATATATATATATATATATATACTTTCAGAAATATATCTTTTACTTAGAGAGATATATCTCTTTTGCGAAGAGAGCTATCTCTTCCATTTAAAGAGATATATCTTTCACCCAGAGAGATGTCTCTTTCAACGTACTTGAGAGATATCCTGTTATCTTTTTTTCTTTTGGAGATGTCTTTCCAATTTAAATAGATATCTCTCAAAGTAAAAGAGAAATCTCTCTTTAGTTGATCTTCAGAGATATCTCTCAAAGTGAAATAGACATCTTTCAAAAATTTCCAAAGAGATACCGGTATCTCTCAAGCAAAATGAGATATCTCTTTTCATAACTTTTATGTAAGTTGAATTTTTAGCGAATTTACCGAAAGAAACTTAACTAAATATGACAAGTAATTTAGTATTGTCAAGATTTCAAGTTAGTATCAGTTTAATTATTTCATAAGCTGAGTTCCATTGCAGTTGAGAGTATATGCTCGATTTCTTTTCCTGAATATTAAGCTTTGTGGCACCGCAATTTGAAAAAAAATTCAAAGGGCGTCAAAAAACTGGGACAAAATCAACGCACTTTGAATTTTTTTCAAAATGCATTAG